ATTAAATGAAATTGAGAGCTGCAGTAACACTGCCATAGGATAAACACAATGTTGTCATTGACTACATCTGTGGAAACAATTAACTGAAAGTACAACACACTGCTGTTTACAGAGGTCCAGGGCTGATTTACTTGGGTTATTTCCAGCTTAGCAAGTAATGTCATAAAAATATTTCAAATATACTGTGTATACTATACTCTTGAGATGCATACTTTAATTTTATTGGCTGATTCAAAATTTTCTTTCTGATAAAGGACCACAGAAGGCAGAACCTGCCTTTCACTCATCTTCAGATACACAAAACCAGCAAAGCAACTTTTGGTTTTCTCCAGAGAGAACTTATGATGGTCCCTAATTGCATATTAATACCGTGAATTATTCAAATCACAGCAGGTAACAACAAACATTCCTTTAAGCGTAATGATACAGCTAAACATGAAAAACCATACAAGGAGTATAATTAACAGCTAGAAAAGCAGAGTTCAATTAAATAGCAAATCCCACTGTTGCTTATGCACTTCATTGGTGGATGGTTAATGCCACTAACTTCAGAAGTGCCAAGCTGCTGCAGCCCCAGGAGACACAAGGCTTCAAAGATTCCCTCTTGCTCCATGGGAAGAGAGACCAGGAGGTTTACAAGGACACCCACTACAACCAATCCCACTTCTCTTCAGCAAGAGAGAGAAGTCTCCACCTGCTTTGTTTGCTGTTCTCATTGGGAATATTTGGAGGGGAATTTGAGGCAGGCCATACTCCTCTCCATCCAGCACGTTTGTCCAGTAAATCTTGCCCCAGATGATCAGAATTCACTACATTACTCACTGTTACCATCAGTAATACTAGCCCTGTTTTCCAAATGTTAAAAATGAGGCTCAGGTTTAAGAAACACGTCCTCTGCCATTCAGCAAAGCACAAGGGTACTTCATGGGAAAGTTAGTACCCCTTCTACACTGTTGCCTGACTCAGTGTAATTTAAGGGGAGTTGTAATGACACATCTAGAAGAAAAGAAAAAATCAATTCCAATCCAGGAACATAAATATGAGGCATAATATTTTCATGGTTTGAATTGTTGAGATACAAATTGTGGAAAGTGAGATTTTTCAGAAAAAGAAAGCAAAGGGAAGAATCCCACATTTCCAGAAAACAAGAGAAGATCAGTAATTTGGCAAAGTACAGATCCCCTGCAACCTGTCTCATAAACTACAAGAAAAGAATGTAATTTAGGCAATCTAAGAAGTCATGGCACATGCTTCCTCAGAAAAGTATTGCAGTGGTTATGAGGAGAAAATTCAACTCAAAAAAGAGGAAAAGTTAAAATACAAGTACCTGCTGCAGTGCTCTTTAAAGATTACAGATGACCTTCTCTTTTGACTGAAGGTCTCAGGTTGGAGATAATGCATCTAACATATTACCAGCTATACCTCATTCATTTCCAATTTACATTTCCCATCTCCCCAAGCAATCATTATTTAGTGATACAGAAAAGACAATTCAAAGCTTCCTTACACCCAGAAGTCATTTTATTGTAAGTGATATGAATTAAGGGATGTTGGCAAGCTCACAGGGAAAACCAGAACTTTGCTGAAAGCATGAACTAACTTTTAAATAAAATGGTTTGTTCACACTTTATTTCTTCCCACCCTTCCTCACTCCATTATAAATAGATTTTTATGTGATGTCTTTTGAAGATTCAGCAGCAGCCCTGGGATGAACTAGCCCAACTGGTATGTTCCTCTGATGGAAAGCAGCTCCCCAAACCACAGCTTCTTCCATTTCTCACATCTGTGCACAGGCTGCAATGAGGAACAGAATGACTGTTCTTTCTCTCCAGTCATCCCCAAGCCAGTATTTAACTTGCAGTATTGGACACCAGGTTCAAAGGACAGCTCTCTGAGCCATTTTTAGCCAAAAAGCCAGAAGTAAATTGTCCCAGCTAATTATGCAGACATTCTGTATCCCACACCTTTGCTTGAACATACCAAGTCATTGGGATTATGTGGCTGATTATCCTGCAAATTCCAAAGACCTGAAACTGAGAAAGGGCACCAAGCCCATAAAGAATGACACTGGGCAACTTCTAGGCACCCTCACTTCACTAACATTTCTTATGGAGGCATTACACATTCTGTCTTCATTTCAAGATATGTAAACCACCCACTTTTGCAGAAGCAAAAGGAAATAAACAAATTCCTTAAAGCTTCCTCTATCATTGCCCAAGGGATTTAAGCACAGAGTCAGACATTCAGTTATCCATCTAATTTAGTGCCCAACTGCCTTGGATGTAGAAGCCATATCTATCCTCTTCTCTCTGGAGCCTAAACCCTGAAATGTGCTCAGCAGTGCTTGGTGCAAGGCTACATTTTCATAAGACTAATACACAAAAAACTCCCTAGTCTCTGACAGGAAGAAAAACAATGTGGATACTTCCCTAATCCTGCAAATCCTTGGTTACACAAGAAACCAGCAACGTGGATAAGACCTTTTCAGTGGCAGAACCTATTTTTTCAGCAGAGATTGATACACTATACACTGTAAGAGTGTACACTGGGTTGTATACCAGTGGGAACTATTGTGAAAATGTTTATTTCCATGAGTCTAACATTATGCAGGCTACTGAAGTAATGCCCATCCTGAGAAGCCTAAGTGAGTGTCAGCTGAAAGGGAAGTCCTTTTCTTCTCTCCCACTTTTGGCAGCACCAAACACTCTGAATTGAAAAAAAATACCAATGTGAGCAAATTAAAAACACCCATATATTCCCTGTGTCCCACCAGCAAGGGGGAGGCAATTTTTTGGTCAAGTTTTCTCCCATCTAATTACATCACAGAATAAGAAAAAATTATTCCAACTTATTAAATTACTTCTTCAAGGATTCAAACCAGCACTGCTGTCTCATGAGCTGCCCTGCAGCTGCGTGAAGTAACACAACAACCAGCTAATGCAACAGCCATCTCTAGCCCATGACCTGGAGGAGGGAGTGGGCACAAGTCTGTGTCTGAGGCTGCATGCCACATGTTCCACCCCTTCCCCTTTCTCCAGAGGAGAGCTCATTTCACGGCCAAACTCTTTAGTTGGTTCTTGAGCACAAACAAAACCACCTTTGTGCTGGGAAGGAGGCAAGGAAAGCAACACAAGTGGAATTTCTGATGCAGGATCTTTCTTTCCCTTGTTCCCCCTGCAGAAAGCTGCCCGGCCAGCAGCAGCCTCTCGGCAGGAGCGGGCTGACAGTCTCAATAAAGCAAGCAGCAAAACTGATCTGCCTTTTCAGGGCCAGACAAAAAGGAAAAGAGTTGGGACCCTTCTAAAGCAATGAGAGGTTTCCTTTGTAGGACAGAAGGCTGAACAAAGGCTCACAGGAGACCAGAATTTTAACTCCTCCCTTATTTCACTGGTTTAGGCTCAAGTGGTATTTTACAGGCTTAGCCAGCAAATTCAATTGGTAGCACAGATGAGCTGTGGCTACAGGAGTATTTTTAGGCTTGGTTTCCAACGAAAATGGAGTAATCATCATTACTCCATGATGTCTACACTCACTATTGCCTCTATTTGTCTGCATTCCTGCACTACTTTTGAACCCAGTGGCCATACTTAACTAAAACAAAACAAAACAAAAAAGCCTCAAACTTCCTACAAGAATTTCCTGCAAGAAAGAAGTGCTCTCTGAAAACTCAGAGGCAAGGTAAAAGCAAACAACTCTCACAGGAAGCTTCCTTGCTGTACAAAAAAAGTACACAGATTAGGATTTTCCCACTTGTAGAGTTTACGTGTGTCCTCTACATACCAAAATACTGCAAAGCTTCTTTGGGGGCTCAAGCCCACAGAGTAACTATCAGAAAGATTCAACTCACAGGCAAATCTGATTCAGAATTTTGTTGCTTCTCACTTGAAAATTCCCACTCCTTTGTCATCAAGACAGGTTCCCACGACAGACCAGCACTAGCATTTAGTGATGCTGGTAACAAACCACTCTGTAATCAGGTTGTTTCTCCTGTAAGACAAAGTGTCTGATCCCCACTAGCACTGGGCTGTGTCTTCAACAACTGCATTCAACAGCATGGGCTTACCTCAGCTTCACAGACAGCACCTTTTCTTGGTTTTCAAAACATCTAAACATCTGCATCCAGAGGGCAGGCTCCACACCCAGGATCCACAGCAGTCCGTCTTCTGACAATGTGACTGACAACTGGAACAAACATCAGCTGTGGTACAAATCCTGGGCCTTCCCAGGGAAGAGCATCTCTCTAATTACTGACCTGTTTCACAGGAAATTGCCTTCAAGTGCCAGCCTTTCTCATACTCCTCAAGGCAAGGCCCTAATCCATGCAGGACCAAGTGCTCATTCAATGGATCTAAGCATTACATTAAGCAGAATGCTGTTGCAAGCACCCCTCAATTATTTTATTTATCTAGATAGCCAGATCCTTCACTGTCTTTGCATTGGTAATGCAAGGTTACTATAGCAACATCTGTGACCTGCATGATCAAGATAGCAGAGAAGAGCTGATGCCTGGATTAATGTATTTGTAGGCTTAAATAGAAAGTCTAAAGATTAAAGATTAATAGTCTATGAAATTCATATGTACTCTACATATGGTGTCACATTTATCCCATTTCCTCTCCTTTTCCAAAAACACTTATCTCTAAATACTAGAGTATGACATGCAATATATTATGACAACACTATTTAAACTTGCTATTTATTTTCTGTTTTCAGTTTAGCACACAATTAAGCTGCTGCATGAGGTCCTAAGACTAATGTATATTTTATACTATGGTTGGCCAATTTATTAGCATCTTGGAGAAACTAGAGTTCTTGACCAGATTTGCAGATTATTTAGATCTCCACAATATTTCAAAAAGAAGAACATTCAGAACAAGTCAACCAGCTAATGCAACATTAAACACAGAGACATCTTCAATTTGCTTTTTATTTTCCTGTACTTAATGGGTTATTTTAAGAGTCAATGACTTTCATTCAACTAGAGATTTGCTTGCCAGCAGTCTGCCACAAGTTCATAACAGATCAACACACATTTAGATGCTTCCTTGAGAGCTCTTCTGTAGACAAGAGAAGACGTTGCTCTTGAATCCAAGGCTGGAGGAAAGCTGCTCCCACTAGGATGGTGACATGAAGGAGATTGGGCATGGAGGGAGGTACTGGGGAACGGAGGTAATTTTTTTCTTTTCTTTTTCCGGCTTCTCATTGAAATACAGGATTAGCTCCTGTAAGAATTTCAGCCAAAAAATATAGTTTTACTCCATGTTTTCTCCATTAATGTTGCACAAACTACCTGAGAGGGCACACATGATCACAGATTAAAAACATGAGTAGTTCTATCCAGTTTTAATTGCTTCAGGTGCAGGACAGGCAAAGAATTCTCATTCTAAGTAATCATTAAAGCAAAAGAGACAAACCAGTCGGCCCTCAAGGGAGACTTTAGCAGCATCTAAGTCATATGTGTGACTAAGTCATTTATGTGACTCTCCACAGCGTCACAAAATGTCTCCATGAGACAGCAAATGAGCGTTCATTGCTCTCTCTCAAAGAAGTTTCTTCTTTATTTTTATATTTTTTAATATTTCATGCTAATATAATTCTTCTCTGAGCCAACTTCTTCTCCCAAAGGCAGCAGGATTACTATTCTGTTTTCAGGAAGGAGGGGAACTGAGCTTCAAAGTATAGTGCCTCAAAGCCATTCACTGTAAAAACCTCCACCAGTATCAGTGGAAGAACTGATGGAGATGAACTGAATCCACTGTAAGAATATTTAATCACTGCAGTCTTGACACAAAATGCAGAACCTGTTTTGTCCTTGGAGTCTCACAGAGCAGAAAGCTTGAGGGATTCTTGGACTGGAAAGCTCTATCATCATATGGTCGGTTGCATTTGGGGGTTTTTGTTGATTTGTTGGTTTTTTAGCTTTGATTTCTTACTGTTGGTGATTTAGCTAACAAAGAGCTTTTGTATCTCCTGCATTTGGCCTTTTCTTTCTCATTGCTTCAATTGCAGAACAGGAAAGACAGGCCCTCACAAATCCAGTAAACAATTTTGTTAGTCCACAGCCATTTTCCAACACAAACACTTATTTCAAAGACATCCAGCTGAGGCTGCAGAGGGAAGAAGATGACTACATTGGGTCCATACATCTGCTTTCCCAGTATTGTTAGAGTTCTATTTAATTCCAATCAACTTGCATAATTGACACCAACCAAGAATCATTGCACCATATGTCAACTTCACACTTCCAACTTTTAAATTTACTTCTCTTTGATATTTTAAGGTTTTTGGCTAAGATTTTTAAAACTCACCTTCCCTAACCTCCCAGCTATAATTAAATGGCCTGGTTTTATAAAAGTGCTGAGTGTGTCACACCTTCACAGAGGCCTGAATGGTACTTCATGTTTCTTGGTTTCAGTCTCACATGTCACAAGTTAATCTTCAGAAAGTCTTAACTGCATTTTCTTGCAACACTCACATCAAGCACCAAGGAAAATTCTTCCTATGCTCCTAGCATAATAGAGGAGAGGAGGTTTTTTTTTTGTCCCATCATCATTGCAGTCCCTTGTGTCTTTGCAAATGAATATTACACCTCTCCAGCTAATATGACCATACATCATTTTTTCTCACCTCCTTGCACCCTCCTGTGTTCTAGACCTTTTATTTTAATTGACTTAAGAAAAGGTTTTATTAAAGAGGACAGCTCACTGGCTAGCAATTAAATTCTATCAACATCATTTCTGCAACCTCTCTTGAAATCCTAGCCTGTCTTTCTCATCTTTTGCAGAAAAGGGTCAAATAGCATCTAAAAACAACACAAAGACAAGGAAAAATATACATAGATGTATCAAAGGGATGATTGAAACTTTTAAAATTTATTTTTGTGTTAAAAGTTTCCCTCACTTTCATGGATAAAACTAGCCTAAAATATCTTATCCAAAACATCCATCTAAAAAGATGCTTAGTAGAAGCTCCTTGTGGTACAAAGACTGGATTTTTTTCTCATTCTACCAGGATTTGCACCAACAAATAGCAATGTTGGCATGATCTGCATTTTAGGGTGATTTTGTACGTCACTCTTGAGTCTAGTCTGGGCTCTAAAGCACAAGAAAATTTGGTTCAGCTTCATGCTTGTCCCCAGACTTGGAAACTGTTGGAGAAATCACTCAGGCTTTCTGTGTCTTGACCATCTTCTTCTAAAAACAATGATGTAACAACTACTCTAATGTCTAAACACCTGCCCAACCCCTCAGTTTATCTACACCTTTAGTGAACTGTGTTCTGCTATTGAAGTTCATGAAATTTCCCTAAACATACATTGAAGCAGTTTTGCTGATATGGCACTGTAGTGTACAGAGCATTCCCATCTCTGTGGTGATGCTAAAAATATCTGAAGCTATATAATAATGCATATTTTATACTCATGAACAAAGTCAATATTTTCTTTCTTAAATCCCAGGCAATCATGTTCTGCCTTTGTTAAATAATCCATGTGGCTCTGTGTGCCCAAATTGAAGCCATTAATCTCTCCTGTTTGTCACCTCCAGATTAAAGGAGTTTTGCTACCAGAGACAGTGTAGTGTGCTCCTGATGCTGGAACAAAGCTCTCTCTCTGGAGCCTCTACTTATGCACAAAGGGTGAAAATGGAATGCTTTATGAAGAGCATCACAAGTAAGAAGGAAATTGTGTATTCCTTCAGGCTTTGATCCTGCCTAACTGAGCTGAATTCCACTATTGACTTTAACAGGAGCTATTCTGTGCTACTAAAAGCACACAAGTAAGTATTTAATATACTGTTAGTATAAAAAACTTATTTGTTTTATAAATAAGTTTTATTTAAACTTATTTAAGTTACAACAGCTTTCAAGACTGTATTATTATCTCAAAGATAATCAAAGACCATATGTTTGCAACTGTATAAAAAGTATCTGATTATAAAATTATTTTTTGTTTTGTTTTTTTAGCAAATGTCTGCTTTTAAAGGCATTTCCTATTTTGTGAAAAATATTTGGGAGAAAGGAAATTTTTTTCTTTGGCAATTTTAAAATATTTTGGTAGAGAGCATTGAAAACAAGATTGTCATCATATAGCCTGACCTACTGAGGTGTTTTGAAGTTACCTTTAGTGACTACAGAAACAGCTAAAGCACAGTAACAATTTAAGATTACCACTAATATGTTGTACTTTGTCTAATTTAGCAATTAATGAAACACAATAGGAGCACAGAGAACAGAAAGCTGGTATTAAGGACTCAGTAGACATACTGGACAAGTTTTGGGCCTTCGTTTTGGAATAGCTTAGTCTGGTCTGATGAACAGAAAACCATCAGCATCTGGAAAGCATTTTTCAGTACACAGTCACTTAGAAGAAATTAGTTTTGCCTAATGCACTATTTTATCTATACTGCAGCAGAGGGAATGAGCAGGGGATTCATTTCAAAAGTGTAAACTAAACACTCAGGCCAACACATGTAGTCTGAGTGCAATTTAGGGATTAGAATGTGCATCAAATACTTCTTAAAAAAAAAACAAAAAAAAAAAATAAAAAAAAGGAAGTGGTGTCCATCAGCATTTACAGAATTTTTTATTTTACCCAAGACAACTAGTTTTATTCATCATTAGCTTTCTCTTCTATTGACTACAGTATGGTATTTGCCAAGGCAGTTTTCCATTTTACCTGAGGTAGATCAAAAGATACCTCTGTTAGAAAAGGTAGGTTGTTAAACTATATTAAAGATGTTCTAAAAATATTAAATCTCCATCTGTTGAATTAGCTATGGAATATAATCAAAGACGAAATATTTTTTTTTTGTGAAAAATTTCAAGTTAAGCTTTACATGCATTAATTAAAAATAAACCAGCAAGCATACAGAATCTACTGTATGGCAATAAACACGTAAGAATCGCTTCTTTGTCATTTAGATGAGTAAAATTATTTTGCCTTGACTAACATACAGCATAAGCAAGGAAGACACTCTCATTTGTCTAGATCAAGATTATTTCCTTTTACCTTTTTGTATCTGTCATCAAGACTAATCCTTCCAGAAATTGTGTGAAATCAAGATTTTACAACTTTTATTTCTAAGGATAAAAAAAAAATCCCAAATCAAACAAAGTTCTATCTCAAATGAGTAAATTTGTGTTGTCTGTCATCCAACAGGCTGAGTGACTGCATTTTTGTGGCACTGCCTCTGCCCTCCCTTGGACATGTACTGTGCAGGGACACGCGATGTGGGAGGCATGTCCTGGGAAAATAAACTGACAGATCTCCACCCTGGAGACACAACAGCACAAAGGGAACATTACCAAGCATGTTCACACATGAAAATTTGTCACTCTGATCTGGGTTAAAAAGCCACCTTTAGACCTAAGTACTTATGTTACAATATCATATTTATTATTTTAAGATGAGGGACCTGCACAGCTCCTGTGCTGAAGGGCTGGCTTGGTGGTTTGTCAAAACCACTACAAACCATTTCCAAAACTGAACCAGTAACAGCATTTAAATTTCTTACTGAGGTCAGCCTGGGCATGCAGGGGCCCAAAACAGCAGGAATTTATTATTTCCACTTGCATTCTAGGGCGTGTATAACACAGAACTGCTCATGTCAGGGAAATCTCTGGGTAGCCAGCGCTGTGTCATGCCTCACCCAGCCAAACCCAAACTCAGCTGCCACACCTTGTAGAACAGGCATTCTTGGTGAGAAACCCTTTTCCTTCACGCTGTGAAGGAACCTCCTTTAAAGGCATGTAGATTAACACAGAAAACCTAATTAAAATCTTTTTATCAGAGACCCTCTCTAGCAGGCCAGCATTTTTCTTCATTCTTCACCAAGACATAATGTCTGCCTCTTACTTTCTTCAGAAAGAGAAATTGTAACTTTCTTAATCAAGCTTCAGAAGATTCTCCAAACTTTGAACTCCCTGTATTTCTAACCCATAAGTCGTTACAAACTAGTTTTATTAAATCCTCAAAGCAAACTTTGCCATAGCTGAGTACTCTTTCACTGTGTCCTTACTAACATTTTTTCATGTTACAATGAATAAAATCAGGTCTTAAACAGGTGATCTGAGGTTGCTCTTTATCTCAGAGCTACAGTAATCTCCTTATCAATCTGTATCAAATCCAAATATCTCAGAGTTAACTGGGGCAGGAAGTTTTATTCTTAAAACTGAAACAAAACACCCTCAGCTCTCACTTTCCTTAACAATTAACCCCAGCTCC